ACTGACAAGGGAACCTGCCTAAATGGCTGGAGGGACCGGCATTGGGGCCACTCATCAAGATCCAGCTCCATGTGAACCAAACAGGCCTTCCAAATCAGATTTCAGTGTGAAAAAAAAAAAAACTTGGCCGTTTTCCAACACTCAACTTGGTCTCCGTCTCAGGCTTCATGTAGGAAACCAATCCCCGATTGTGGGCCTGAAGCGTTTAGATTAAATTGAAGTACTGTAACATTTGGCTCTTTTGCGTCTTACTTGATGTCTTGTGGCACTATCAGACTTACTATTGCACTTACAACCTCAAAGACAGGAAGTAAAAAAAACCAGTTGAAGCCTGAGACGAAGCCCAAGTCGAGTATTGGACAATGGCCCTTCATTCCTGTCTGCGTGTGACGATCACTGGTAGCCATGATGCATGATACAGGTGACTGGAGGGACTGTGAAGTGAATGGTACCGGTATTTCAAGCTGTTGTTTTTCTCTGCATTCTCAAGTCAATCTCGCAATCAGTTTTATTGAATCGTTACTCAAATGTTTATTTCTAATGTCTTGGTGGTGAATTTTTTTGTCGGCCAAGTGGAAGGACACAGTTGGAGAGTGCATGATCACACAGCAAAGCATTACAATTTTTTGTACTAGCCTACCGGTACACGCACCAACACAGCTGTGGGCGTGTGGAATCACTTCTGAGGTTGCTCAGTTTAAGTTGCTGAAATTGCCTCGCAAAACTGATACGTCTATGGAAATAGATTTTCAGCTGGAAAAAGTGAAAGAAGACAGATAATTTTAAGTCAGTCAAACTTTTGTTCTGATTGATTGAATACGCAATGAGCGACTGAGCTGCCTCCAGGATGGCAGTACAGTGTTCATGTATCGTATATAATGTACATGCAAATGTATTTGTATTCAGGTCCTTGTGTTGGAATTTACCGGTATTTGGGTCAGCGGTACAGTGTACATGTACATGGACCTGTAATGTAGCTTACCATCTTTTTCTACAATGGTTTTTCCCTTTTTTTCTGAAGTGCCAATTCTCCATGGTAACTTCTGCACTAAAGGAGATCAGTCTCTCAAAATGAAGTCAATGTGAATGACCTGGGGGGGTCAGTTGCCTTGGGAATACCCTGTCTGTTTACAAACATTTAGTCTCCCTTTGACTGCTGTTATGGCTGCCCCTCCCAGAGGATCAGGTGGCTCAGGGTCAAGCACCTTACATTGCACCTGCGAGTGCCCACAGTATGGGTACCATGCAGTAGTTACCCTGTGGACTCACGGTGGTATGCCTTGAGAGAGAGCATCTTCCCTGTAGTGTAAGCATCAACTGCCTTAAAAATTGGAAAAGTCAGTGTTAGTGCCTGGTAATCTGAAGCAAATAAACACACAAACTACCAGCCAAACAAAGAATTAAAAATCGGAATTCTGAATTTTGTCACCCTGTTGATACCCGTAGAAGTGGATTTCTTTGAAATTCCACTTCTACATGTACCGTGTAAAAAGTACATGTATGTACACGCACATGTAGCAAGTGACCGATTAAAACTAAGCCGTACTCAAATGTTGCAAAAACCCAGGCAAAAATATTCCTTGTACAAGCATACGTACAGTACTTGTAGGTGTAAATGTACATGTACATGGATGTGTGTGTCAATTTGATTAGAATTTCATGTTTTGTTCCTTAACTTTTTGGCAGTTTTTGTTGCGTGATCAAGAGGCTGTTATCTACACGTTCAAGGCTCTGGTTTCCTACAGAGCCCAACAGTACATGCCTTTTATCTACATGTGCATTCCTGTGCCAGGATTTGATTTGATTTGTATTTTTGGGGGGGTTTCTATAGTCATGGTTTTCCACAGTGTTTGTAAAGACCTTTGGAAACAAATCTGATACTGAATTGAAATGGAAGCAACTTAACCAGTACAAGAAAATCTTGGAACTACATGTAGTTTACATTCTGGCTGGCAGAATGGTAAAGGTCGCATACCAGACGAATAGATTAAATTGTTTTTAATCGGCATATCTTCCAGGGTGAAGGTCGAAATGCAGGCTGTGTTGATAAATCAGGACGGGGACAGTCTTCACATCAACACATCGTTTGTTCTGAATTGAGTTTTTTTTTTTTATTTTCAAGTCTGTTTTACTTTTCACTGGGAATCACTGGTTTCACTGAGAATTTGATCAACATGTACATGTACTTATACATGGATAAAACACTGGTACCGGTATGTGCCGGTACCTATAGTAACCTGGGGTCAGAGAAATTGTTCATATGCTACAATGTAAACATGTATTTCTAATTATTATGCAACACTGCTGGGCCCCAATTTCATGGAGCTGCTTAACAGTTAGCAGAAAAGTCGTGCTTACTATTTGCAGAAAACTTTGCTAACCTTAAGCACTACTTGGCCTGGTTGTGCTTACAGTCATGCACATTCCGAGAATTCCATTGTTTTGTGACTTCATGTACATTAAGCAAAGAGTTCTTCCAAGGTACAGTTCGTGTTAGCATGCCTTTTGCTGTATGCAGTGCTTACGCTCTCCATGAAATACACGGAGCCTCTGTTAGCATAAAAATGTGTGCTTAACAGCGCCATGAAATTGGGCCCACGTCATAAAAGTGAGGGAGAAATCAGACAGTTGTCAAAAATACTGTCGATGTTAAGGTCCTTTCAGTGTACATACATGTACTATGTATTTTTATATTGATGTACTGTACCCTTTACCCTTTATGCACATTGCATCCTTCTGGAACCTTCAAAATCATCCTTCCTACAAGAATGCAGTACACTTCCACTTGGTGTACGTTTCATCCCAGCTGAAAGCAGTGTGATTGAATTCTACATGTACATTTGTACTGGTTCCTTCCCAGTTCTTTCAAAATTCTCCCAAAAGTTCCAGGTGCGGTTTTTGAGGAGCTGCTAGATTTGAACATGGAGGAATGTGTTTTTGTTCCTCCATGATTTGAAGGTGAAACTTTAGTGCAGCATCATTGAAAAAAATAATAACCTCCATTGTTTTTTGTTAAGGGATCTTGAGGGATTCTGCACATCAAATCCATGTTTCTATGGCTCTCCATACAGGTACATGCACATTGTACATGCTGGGACAAAATAACCCAATCTGATCAAGGAATGAGTGCTCTGCAATATCAAATTTTGTTACATGTGAAATTGCAGGAAGGTTCTTTGCCAAAAACGCCCAAGGGGTTTGGTTTAATTAATCCAGTACTAGTGAATAAACATGTTGTCAACAACACCAAAGACCCACAAGCAATTCCTGCCTTTACTCCTGTGCCAAAAGGGCAAGGCCTGTGAACTCGGCCATAAAAACCTGATGACCGGGATAACTTTGATGGGCCCCTCCCCTTCAAACCGCCAGCAGCAAAAAATATCTCTGTACTGTGTGCTCATAGAGCTAGGAACACAGTGTTCCTAGCTTTGTGGTGTGCTGTAGCTAGGAGCAGTCAGCCTCCTAAGGAATGCACCCCCTGTGAAGTGACAGGCAGTCTTCAATCAGGGAATCAGATTCAGAAAATACATGTACATGCACAGGCAGTGAATGTGCAACTAGAGGCTCCCCAGAAGCACAGCCTCTGAACTCTCACAACTGTTTGTCCAACTAGTTTATGGTTTGAGGATTCAGTCAGGTACAGCTGATGCACTTTCCTTCAAAGGGGAAGGGGGAAACAACGTGTGCCCCGGAGACATATGAAATTTCAAGGGCTGTAAAGGCACTTCATGATCGAGACTTTGAGTTTCTAAATTGGTGTCAAAGCTGGTGGCCTACATGTTATGAATCTTGAATCTTCTCCTGCCTCCATGCTTGAATCAAGTCTACTGAATGACCTTCATGTCATCATGTGACAGATATTTATGTATAAAATGGACATGTAGCCTAAAATGAAGTGCGTGACCTCCAATAACCTCAGGAAAATTTGTGACTGGATCTGATATGCATGTACAGTAGGGAGTACATGTACATCCTATGTACATGTAACAAATGAACCGTTGGGATACCTGTTTAAGTATGTGTACTGTACGGTACATGCTTTCTTAGATAGGAAGAATGGACATCCAGTTTTACTCTTTTATAATCAAAGCAGAAAAGTTGATAACCCTCAAATTGAAATGACATTTCCACTGAAAAAAGAAAATGCCATTTTCTTTTTTTCTTCATGCAACTATAAACATTCGGCCTTTTCGTTAGATGGTCAATAAGCCTTTTGCGAGTTAAATGTGAATAAAACCACTGAGTTATCGGATTGCACATAAACAACCATTTGAATTCCCCAGACTAAAGACCCTGTTGGTATACCTTGTGATTTGGGGCAAGCGTTTGCATAGCGACCACCATCTCTAGAATGGACTGATTCCTTTTTGCCGTTCTTATCCATTGAAAACAGTGTATTGAGGCAAAGCGTCTCTTATTTAACTAAGCAAAAGCTTGCCCCGAATCACGAGGTATACATGTACATGTACCAACAGTCTCTTTAGTATGGAGAATTCAAATTGTTAGGTTCACTTGAATTTAAAGAACACAGTGCACCAGATTTTATTCAAATTTCACTTGCAAAAGGCTTATTTACTCTTTGTCAGTTCTCAGAAATAAAATGGTCTGGATTGGTTGAACTTTGATTGCAAATATACTGTGTAGCCTTGGGTGTTTGTACATGTAAATCTCACATTCATCTCAGACTTTGGCTTCAGTTTCCTGAGTGAAATGTCCCATGTTTAGACCTCTTGCATATTATTTTCCACCGCAAAACATCAAATTGTTGAATGTGAGGTCAAGTTTTAATATTGGGCCAGTGGTATGCATGAAATTATACTTGGAAAGGATTCTGGAGCTTGAGGTGCAGCTAAGCCACATCTGGAGTGAAGTACATGTAGGATTTGAAAAATGGCCTAGGATATACATGTATTACAGATTTCATAGACGTGAAAGGTCACTTCGGATATCCACAAGAAAGTGGCCACTATGATAATGATTTCTGGTTGGTGTCATTGCAGACAGACTATTGGCCGACCTCGAGGCCTCCACCTCCCAGTTCAAGACCCCAAGTGGCAAACCAGGAGCCACGCCCAATGACACCCACTCCACCACCCCAGCCCCACCGCCGACCAACGCCAATCCCCAGTCCCCTCTGTCTCCGATCTACTCAGAGATCCCAGCCAATGTGAACGGGAACTACCCCTCGCAACAGGTGAGTCCAAAACAAATTTTTTTCAGAAGCCAAGTTTTTTAAATTTTAAACTCTGCTTTGAGGTGTTCGGTACTCTCCTAAAGTCTTTTGGTCAGGTCCTTGACAAATTTGATTTGTACATTGTGTTCTCCTTGTTTTTCCATGGAGATCGTGCCCTGCTTTGTCTCGGCAAGTATTCAGATGTCTTGGATACTGTGTGACAGGTCTCTGGCATAAAGAACATGTGGGTAATTCCAGAAATTAGGGGTCCAAAAGTGTGACTTTTTTTGTTCCTGTTACATTTGACCTTGTTGTTCGAAATATCACCGGAAGTGATTTCAAACTATTACTATTTGTTTGGTAGGTAATTTGCATTATTCATCACTCTTGGAAATTAGAAAATGTGTTCTGATCTTACAAAATCTCATGTCAGATGTGACAGGGACACCAAAAAATGGATCCCTGATTTCTGGAATTACCCATGTACCAGCCAATCTCAGGCCCTGTCTTCAACATGAAGCCAGCTTTCAGACTAAGTTCTTAATGCCTTATTTTTTGTCAGTAAAACTGTCCAGTTGGAAAGAGGTCATACACTAGGGCCTTTTTCAGCATCCTGTTCAAGTTCTAAATACTCTCTGCAGTAACTTTCTTAACTTCAGGGTGAATTTGAGATTCTTTTCTCTCTTCCTGTCCAGTCGGAGCCCTTGTACGAGGAGCAGCCGAACCGCCAGCTTCCCCCGGGCCAAGGTGTGGCCCACCTTTACGCCAAGCCCCACCAGCAGCAGGCGTTTGCCCAGCCCTCCCCACTCTACAACAGCAGCTATCAGCCCCCGGGCCCCAGTGCGACCGCCCCAGGGCCTGGCAGCAGCAGCAGCAGCCAGGCACCTCCGCCCAAGCCGGCCCGGACGCGCCCTGCCCAGCAGCCCGCCACGGCCTACCCATTCCCGGAAACGGCCGGCTACAGCAACCGGACGTACCAAGACGCCAAGATGGACAACCTGTCTGAGCTGGACAGCCTGTTGGCAGATCTGGAGAGTGCCCAGGTCAAAATTCAAAATGGTGAGTCTGTCAAGGAAAGCTGTTTCAATCTGCTCATGGCCTATCTTTTTCCTGAACACACCCTCTGTGCATCATGTACATGTGTAGTTAGTATAAAGTCATCATGCAGCCCATAAAGAAAAACCATCTGAAGGCTGTAACCAGAGGTGATCCAGGGGCCCAATGGAGGCTTTGGTTTCCCTGAAAGAAAGAGATCCAAATTTTAAAAAAAGATTGCGGGAAAGACCATTTTTTTGGGTATGTTTTATTTCCTTCCCCTCCAAAGCTGGAAACTGTCTCCAAAAATAGTATCATCCCTCAGAAAGGTCATATAAAGGTGACATAAAAAAGTTTCCAAAATTCTCTCTTTCAGAAGCACACCCAAGGGTTGAGTTTTAGGTAGTATTTGGGGCTTAGCGTGTTAAGTGTGGGTGGCATTTTAGAATGTTTTCTAGTACATGCATATGGCCAGTTCATACGATCTTAGTCCTACATTGTTCTGACTTTACCTTCTTTTCCATTTTACTTTTAAAAATACCAATTGCAAACTTTTGAACCAATGAAAGAACGTGCAAGGCAAGCCTCAGGTAGGTTGAATGCAGAACTTTGAATGAAGTCATCAGTGTCTCCGCCCTTGAATGTTTGCCTTCCTTGTAGCATGGGCGTAAGAGAAGTTGTGCCACGTCATTTGCATGTGAGTTTGTCCAAAAGCTGAATGCGAGTCTTGGGTGACTCACTTTGAGAGACTCGCTCAAAATGCACCCAACTTTGTGCCAGTTTGCATGGCTTGCCGTCTTGCGTGTTATCGTGATGGCATTTTGATTAAGAGAAGAGGGCACAGTGCAGTACCGGTTAGGTTTGTATGTCGATAACGTTCTTCACATCTTCTCTCAAGATTTAGAAAAAAATAAACACATTACTGATGTACAGAAAAACCCAAGTTCTTCATTCAGAATCATTTCTCGGAGTAACTTTGGCCAAATGGCCTCGTTTATAAAAGCCAACCCCAAAAAAACATTTTGAAAAACAGTGTGAAAAGTTACGATGTTTGGAATTTGAGATTGTGAGGACAAAATAATAATGAACACAAAACAATCTCTCAAGCGCAACCGAAGCAATGCGCTGCTGTGCTCCTTTAAAAAATGTTCAACCCACAGAGAATTTTTAGGTCTCTCTGCGGGTAGGATGCCGTATGGACAAGTGTGCGGGCATGATTACCCCCCGTGTCGGTTGCAATTCGTGCATCGAATGCTCGCCAAAGTGGAAAAAACAACTATCACTTTGCTGAGAGGATGTGGCGAACATGTACTTATGTACGTGTATTGAGTTCATGTGCATGCCATGGATTCAGCTTGCCTTTGTTTTGTTTCGAGTTTGCTGTTGCTGCATTTTGAGCCTGTACGCAATTTCCTGTTTGCCTTGCAAAATTGGATTGTGAAATGTCTGTGAAGTTTTAGTCAATGTGTTTTCCATTTCAGTACATGTACCTAATATGCATACAGTACAGGTACATTTACATGAAGTTGTACCCGAGTTGTGAGCATTTCGTGTGTCGGTGCACTTCTTGGTCATAAACCTTTCATATTCATGAACTGCGCTCATGTGCTCTCTGTAATACATTTTGAATTCTCATGCTAGACAGAACGCGCATCACACATCCCGCAGACATGCATGAGCCAGGCTTATGTCTGGTCTTATAAGTACATGTACATGTACATGTACGTACTGTACATGTACACGAAGACTTTTAGGCCAGGTTGCAGTACCGTACATGTGTTTAATAGCCAAAGGTCTCTTTAAATATGTATTTAAAAACTTTGAATTTAAATTTGCAAATGCATGGAACCTATTCAACTGGCCCTGTTTTTCAATTGGTGGCAAATTTTGGGATATCTTGTATTCAGCAATTCTTGGCTGAAACTTTGTCACTTCAGCATTCCCAAAACAGCTCAAAGAGTAAAACATTCAAATGTGTCAAAATTGCGGTACAATGCCCTAGCCGTTGCTACCCGTTGTCACACAAGCATGGCCCATGTCTGATATATGTTAACCAGTGAAATGAGTCTTTGACTATCAAATGCTTGCATATTGTCTTACCTTTCCAGCCAGAATGGTTGCTTCCCGTTCCCCCAAAAGTTCTTCACTTACTGAGCTGAGCAGAGCATTTCAAAGTTTGTTTTCAGGTTACAAAATTACGGTACCTCAGTTTCATGAGATCTCTGCGTGTGGGTTGGTCATCATTCGGTCAACTCACACTGTGCCCTTCACTCTGTCGCACCTTTGAGAATCCAGTTTTGTGAGTTGGCTCTGGTACATGTTGCTTAGCCTGCATGGTGGCCTCATGTTGCATGTACCTGTATCTCATAGCATACGTGTTCCTGTGTGTGTTGCTTAAATGTTCAGAAAGAATAGTAACATTTGAACCCCCTCTCCTTTGCCGAACTGATTTTTGAATTGAAATCAACAGTTTGATGAAAAACTTGATTCCTGTTTCTTTCTTGTAAAATGCCAATTTAATTGAAATTTTTGCATTCTGGTTTCCTGTAATGCTTCTGTTGCTTTGAGTGCCTGTTTTCCTTCTTGAGATTTTGAAACTCTAAAATTGCTGCAAGAAATGGCGTGTACTCAGAATTGCATAGCCAATAAATTAGCCAAGATCTTTTAGCAACCATACACTGCAAGTCAACCACTGGTTGATAGATTGCATGCATGTAGGTAGGGAAATTGATCAGTGGTGGACATACATGTTTGGTTGCAGATCGAACTTCGCCGCAGGTGCAGTGGGTTTGCAGTCCACAAGTTGGACAATTTATTTCCAGGCCTTGTCCATTCAGTTCTGCCTCAAGAGATGCATTTTGTGGCCCAGGTCACAAGATGTCATTTGATCAAATGTAACCAATCAGATATGTGTATTAATTGGTTCCTTAAATGGAAGAACCAGCCTGAAGTGAGCCCTCTTGTGGCACTGTTTCAAAGGGCTGTATTATTGAGGCCCCTCAAGTTGCCAGTTAAACTGATTATTTCTCATAGATTGTCCACGTGTTTGTAAAATACATTTAGGCCTAGTCATAGAGCTGCTATAAGCACAGAAATTTCCCTATCGAAGAAAATGTTTACTCACAAGTTACCAGCCAAAGTGGTATGTAAATATTGTAAAGTGTTTGACTGGTACGCAGCTGATTTTTACTTACCATGTCATTTTGCTTTAAGCAGCCCTGTGAAATATTGGCCAGGTGTAGCAGTGTACTGGTAAGAGCAAACATACATGTAGGTTGTTTCCAAATCACTTGGTTTGCGGCTTGAAATTAGGCATGACTGTATGGGACATGGCCACAGCCCAAAGTATAGACTGATGTTTAATTTTGAGCCATAGCTAAGTAATGTGGACACGGCCTTAGAATCTGCACAGTGTTTCAGAGTCGATGTGCATGTAGCTAATCTGTCTGCCGTACCAATTGATTAACCCTATTCTCTTCCGCACAGCCACGTCATCTCAATCGCACACGCCCCCTTCCCCGACCAAAGCCCCTGCCCCCGCGACAGCGCCCAAGCCCAAGAGACTCGATGGACCAAGATCGCCCACTGGGTAAGCCTTTTAAGAAACCCACCTATGCGTTAAATCTTCAGTCTGTGGGGATCGGTATTTTCGCCATTTCAAGATTTCACATAAAATGCTCCTGATGAAGAAGTGGCCCCTGTTTCTTGAAAACCTCACAAGTAAGAGGAGGAAGCAGTGGCGTGAGTTTTCCAGACTTTTCCCGATTTGGTGATTCTGGGTCTTCAGAGGTTGAATTGTTCAGTGCATGATTCACACGGTTATAGCTGTTTTGGAGGGAACTCAGGCTTGTTACCGTGGTTACCTATTCAAAGCCTGTAAAAGTCACTGCACTTTATTGTTTTCTTTGTGCCAAGAATAATGTCAGAAAAAAAAAATCAAGGTTGTACTTGTAGGTTCTGAAAGTTCTCGGAATAGTTACAGTTCTCAAACAGTGACAGTTTGGTATTTCAAAAGGTGAAGGTCATTCAGGAACAAATCAACTGATGTTATACCAGTTCAAACATGTTCATTGTGCCTGGGTGGGCGTACGTACGGCCACACTTATACTGTCAATCTCGCGCCCCTGCATTGCGGATCTTGAAAAACCTACAGTATGCTTCATTTTTGAGCATGTTATATCGAAATACCAAACTGGATCAGAGATTGAATTTTTCAGGCATGGCTATTGAAGTTACTGCTTATGGCTGAATGGAAGACCTTCACTAAAACAGACTCATTAGAATGAGAAAAGCAGCATTTCAAAATACCCTTGCTCTTTAATAAACGTGTGACAGATTTTTGTTGGAATTTTTTTTCCCCCCGTGTTGTCTAGCCCCGCTCCAGGCCCTCAGTACTCACAGCCTCCTCCTCCGGAGTCCGCTCAGCTTCACATCAGTCAACCTCCCACCCGCAGTGCGTCATCAGCTACCCAAGAGCTAGACGAACTCATGGCCTCATTATCGGACTTCAAGGTTGGTTGGGAACGAAGAGTTCTAATTTTGTTGTCAACATTGTTCCAAAGAGATGCCTGATATGTCAAGGGGATTTTTTTCAAGCTCTAGTGCACCCTTTCCCCCCAAAAACAGTTTATTCTCCCTTCACCTGATTTATTGAAAACAAGTTTGTTTTGGAATGAAACAAAACCCCAAATCCTTTTCTTTAATGTTTTTCCACAACATTGTTTTCACCATTTGAACAATAAATAGATAGAGAATTGTAATACTTGTAAAAATGACCATGGAAAAAATAAAAATGCTTTCTCCAATAAAAAGACATGGAAGTGGAAATTTGCAAAGTGTCAAATATACAGTTAAATTCAGGGTTGGGATTTGCCAGGATTTTTCCTAATTTCTGAAACTTTTTCTCATATTTTTCCTGGTTTCAAGGTTTTCCAGACAATCTGTTTATAAGTCTGGAAAATCCTGAGTTTATCATTCAGGTTTTTGGACATGAAAAGTTGGTATAAAACACAAGAAGTGGGTATTTTAAGGGGTGCCAAAAGGCAGACACAAATGTATGCCACAGACCCTATGCTGCTGTGGGGCTCTCAAGTTTCACTTTTCTCTAGTTTCACCCCTGTTCAATTTCTTGCAAAAATATTTCATCTGCTTCAAGTTGAATATGAATTCAACCCCAACCTGACAAAAAAATTGTAAAAAAACCCCTTTAATCTGAAATTCTTTGAAGTCTGCACCGTTTTACACTAGGTTCAAAGCAGTTGCCCCAAACCAGAAGACATGTACAGATTAAAAGCATCTCCTGAGCTGTCAAAATGACTCCACCAGCTGTGCCAAACGTAGACGGCTGTTGATACCGACAAAACCTGATACCCGCCACAACCGCAACATGCCAGACATAGTCGGCACGTGAGCACATTGACCCCCAAGGGGTCAGGGGTCGGGAAAGGTCGGCAACATGATCAAGTGGCTTTTAAATGGGTTTTGACAGGCTTTGGTGAGGAATGTTCAGTGGGAACAATCGGGGTAATAACGTTCCCTGTTGCTACGTAATGATGTACAAATACAACATCAACTGTTGCCAAACACATTCACAAATTTTTTAATGTTCCAAACTTGCTAATGGATGACCTTCAAATTTATAACTGCCTGTGACGTGCATGCAAGCATTGGGACTCTGTGGTAAAGCTTTCTGGTATTGTTCAGTTAGGCCACCAGTATTTCTCTACCATGGAGTGATGCTTTAGAAAGTGCCTATTTACGAATCTTGGCAGCGGTATCTGGGGGGGGGCATTGTGGTATCATGATTCACTGGTGTACTTGAATGTATGGGTTTAAAATGGATGATTTGGGCAGTAATTGTTAAGGTGTGCCGGAATCTGAGACGTTGATGGGAAATTGAAATGTAGATTTGAAAGTCAAGAGCAGGACAACTGACATTTGACTGTATAAAGACGTTTTTGGATCTTTTTTTCAGTGCTTTCCTTGAGAAGGAAGACTTGGGCCCTGAGTATGAGTTTTAAGCTGAAAGTTGTCAAGATGTGGCATTATCTTGCCAACAGCACAAATGCATCCCAAAGAAAATCTGTGGGCAGATTGGAAGCAATGATTGGTCTATATTGTTTTTTTTGTCATCAATTAATCAAGGCACTTGCACCAGATGTTACAGCCCACGATAGACAAAATTTTATTGACGTATCACAGATCAATTTCAGAAGTCTGACTCTGTGCACAGCAGGGTTGAGATTTGTCAGGGTATTCCTTGATAGAGCGGGTTTTTGTTTTCATCGGGATTTTTCCAACAATCTCTCACAGGATCTGAAAAATTCAGTGTTACCTTTTTAAAAGGTGGTTGTACTTATAAAAGTCGAAATAGAGCATAAGAAATTGATATTTTAAGGGGTGCCTTTAGGCAAACGAATTTATGTTCTTCTATGCCATTGACCCTATGCCGCTGTGGGGCCTGCAAAACCTTTGGTGAATATTTCGAGGATATCTCACATTCGCTCAACCCCATCCCGGCACAATAAAAAAGATTACTGGGACTGTTACCAAAAGTTCTGCCTCCAAGCAGCTCATGCCGCCCTATTAAGTGAATGTTTATCCAGCAATTGTGAAACCAGCATTGCGTTTGTTTCCCCGCGGCTTTCATGAAGTTGAAAGATAAACATCTGAGCGTCCCAGCCGGTACTTCTAAATTCTACTCCTTTTGTCTGAAGTATTTTACAAATGGGAAACAGTACATGTTGCTTTGACAATAGAAGCATGGTCAGAGTTTTTGTGTGTTGCCCAGAGGCGTTTGTGGTCATGACTTAGTGTTTATTTCCTTCCCCACCCCGGCCTCCAATGAGGTTTTTTCTCTTTTGGTATACTTCCCGTTATCAATACCAATCCTTGTCCTGTTTCCTGTCCATGTGGTTATCAAGTCGTGGCATGACGTTATTCCCTCTTTGCATTTTTGGCGACTCTTCTAAAGTTGTTTTCAGGTTTGAGATTTTGTGTTTTGGGGGGAGGGACTGGATTAGATCGATTTGGGACGATTGCATTATTGCCATCGACATCCCCAGAAGCAAGGACGTAGAGTGACTCTGTATTGCTTTCTTCCATTGGCACTTTGCCAGCTCGGACGCCTTTGAAGGATTTCACTGCCCTCTGTGCCAGTTGAGTCTCTGTGAAAGCAATAAATGGATCATGACATATTCAATGTAGCCAATGAAAGTACAGGATAATGTGAACATGTTTGACAGAACCAAGAACCAAGAAACAGTTCAATTCACAGTTAATTCAGTGGGTTTGTGTTGGAGGTTTTGGCTTACAGAATTGAACGTGGAACTTTGTGTCAACTTTTCATTCAGAGGTACATGTACAAGTCTTAAAATAAACAGAGGTTTAAGTTCCTGGCTAGAACTTTGATCAGAGAACATGGGCTGACCAGTTGACATGGGACTGTCACCCCTGCGTGTACCGGCTGTCACCCCTGCATGTACCGACTTGTCATACTCGTGTTCCAATCCTACCGAGGCTGACATGGCAGTGCATAGATTGAGTCTTCATTCCTTGAATTCCCACCACCAGTGTCATGTTCTTACATGTACATGTATGTAGCAGAAACTGTTATTTTTATTAACATGCTGAGCCAAACCAAGCCGAGAACCAATTTGAAATAGTGTAGACTCCATGGCATTTTTCCCTGGTGTCCTGCTCTTGTAAAGAAATTGAAGCCTGGGGGATCCAATACTTGGCTTCATTTCAGGCTTCACCCCGAACAGTGATCCCTTGAAAGTATGTACAGGTACATGTACATGTTGGCTTAGTGTGTGTAAATAGAAGTGCTTTAAGATTTGGCTCTCTTCCAGTGGTACTGTCTGACGTGTTTAACAACTGTGAAGTCTGGGGTCTAAAATCAGACAAAGCAACTAGCTGTGGATTGTATGCACTGCCCTCAACAATTTGCCTGTCGCCCATATTGAGAATATGGAAATAATTCTCAGGGTCAGATTTTTTCCAACAAATCACTGAAGGGAGGAAATGTTGGAATCCTCCTTTTTGTATCCAGGTGTCCAGCCCCCAGCCGGCTCCGGCTGCCGTCCGGGGCAGCAACGAACCCAGCTATGCCAAGCCTTACCAGGTGACCACTGCTGCTCAGCCCTCCAATCCGGCCCAGCCAGGCAATGCCGCGCCATCGGGCACTCAGCTGGACTCCATGCTGGGCCACCTGAAGTCGGACGTCAGCCGGCAGGGCGTCAGCACGGTGGCCAAGGGCTACTGCGCCGCCTGTACCAAACAGATCATCGGACAGGTAGGTGTTGCTGGTACCCAACTGCCTAGGGCTACTAGTGCACATTTACAGATGGTACGGATACCAGGTATTTTACTGGAGTGAAACATGGGCTGCATCCGAATCTGTTGTCTAGAGCTAGGTCCAGGTCTTCACTCCATTGGAAAAGTGTGGAGGCGCGTAGACAATAAACTTAGCCGTAGCTCTTGAAGCCTATTTCGGACATGGCTATGGTTAACCTGCAAAGACACAACCCCAAGATTCAAAGAAAAAAGCATACATGAAAAACGCTTTGAGGTTGCCTTTTGTTTAAAGATCTCTCTCAATAGACGCCATCTTTGTAGGAAAATTGCAAGTGCGTGTACAGTGCCAACAGGTGCATTGCGCACAGTGTGCAAACTGTTCTAAAATGGCACGCGTGCTGATCCAAATAATGTTCGAATATGGCGCAGCCAATACGCGTCACGAAAAGTGAAGTACATGTAAAAGATGCCGATGCACGTGGTAATCTGTAGGAAGTGACATCATTTGAGAGAGACCTATAACCCAAAACACTCGGGAAATAAACCACAAATGTCATGCTGCAATTTGCGTATTGGTCGAACAGGTTTTAACTTTTGTCTCGCGCTGCTCAATTTAGAGCCATGCTTGCTTTAACGTCACTTGTGAACTGTCTACATTGTGGTAAAGTTTGTTTTAGAGAAAGCCATTTCGGTGAAACTTCAGGGTTTAGAAAACAGTCTTTATTACAGGATTTTAGAGGGAGAACTTTCTCCAGTGGCAGTGGTCGTGACACAAGTGAGACTGGACAACTTATCATTATTAGGATGAGGGCTACCTGGCACCACATAAATGCTGCATCTGCCACTCCATCCACGGATTCAGCCCAGTGGCTTGACTTTTCCGTCTTTTTATCCAGATTGTGACAGCCTTGGGTCGGACGTGGCATCCGGAGCACTTTGTCTGCTGTCACTGCGAGACGGAGCTGGGCGCCAAGAGCTTCTTTGAGCGGGACGGCAAGCCCTACTGCGAGACAGACTATCATAACATCTTTGCCCCTCGCTGTGCCTACTGCGACGGCCCTATACTAGATGTAAGTCGTCACCGTTTTGGTGTCAGCGTTGAGGCCAATTTGCACTCTGCGCAAAAAGCAGATGCACGTTTCCTGGAAAGATTTTCATGCTGTAATTTCGCAAACATTGAACATGTTATAACTTTGAATTGAAATATGGCAGAATTTTGCTGCAGTTCTGCCCTTGATGCCCATTTGTGCTGTGTTCTTGTGTTTTCACGAGATCTGAAGTGGCTTTATATCCAGGTTGTTCGCTTGTCTACCACGTCAAGCTTCACAAGTTTGCCTGACAATCATGTTGACACCTTGTTTTTCAAAAATTTCAAAATATCTTGCATCTCGATGGAATGTGTTCATGCATTGACAGACGTAGATAGTGTCAAATGCGAATATTTATACCAACAAAACCCCTCATTTGATAGGATCGAATCATTACAGGCACACAATCATAATGCACGTCTTTACAAGCATGCATATGTAGAAAATCTGTCATTGGACAGCCAGGTTTGGAAAAGGGAGGTGTAATTTTTTTTTTTTCTTTAAATCTCTTGTATGGCTCAACGAGAGAATGGTTATAGATAGGATGGGCAAGACGACATGTAAATTCTCAAAAGATGACAAGTACAGTTTTCTTCACGCATTTTTGTCTGTGCTAAATGCAGAGTTGCGTGACGGCCCTGGACAAGACCTGGCACCCGGAGCACTTCTTCTGCGCCCAGTGCGGCCAGCCGTTCGGCGACAACGGCTTCCACGAGAACAATAACAAGGTGTACTGTCGGGACGATTACTTCAGCATGTTTGCGCCCAAGTGCAGCGGCTGCCAGAATGCCATCATGGACAACTACATCACCGCCCTCAGTGGGCATTGGCACCCGCAGTGCTTCGTCTGCTGGGTGAGGTCAAAGTTTATTATAAACGTGCATGCCTTATTCTTGAGAATTTCTCCAATGGTGGCCTTGAGGGGACACTATACTTTCACTCAGTGATTTGAATCCAGGCTCAAGGCAAATACCCCCAAGTTGGTCAAATGGGTTATGACAGAAGGCATTCTTTTCTTATCTTTCATCCTGTTACTCATGGCAAGAATTGTAGTTGACTGATTTTTAGACTTGTCATGACTCAGTCCTACCTTCAAATAAATTGTTCTGACACGGTCAGTCTTTGAACACCATCAATTCTTTTACAGACAAAAACCATTTCATTTGGATGCCTATTTTTGTAATTTTTTGGGGGGAGGGGGTGTTTTAAGGCATGCATGATAAATTTAGTGTTCTTGAAACTATTCTCAAAAGGGAATCACTGTGATGTCCCTTGAGGGCCTCCATAAAGCTGTATTTGTGCAATCATGCACATGAATAACAAGTAGTGACTGCTGTGTTGACATTTATTGCCGTCAGTGTGAGGCAGATGTGTGTCATGCAGTGATGCATGTTCCAAAGGTGACAGTAGCAGACTTAAATCAGAGAGGCTCATGGAAGTTCATTTCTATCTAGAGTGGTCCTCTGTCCTCATTGCTAAGGGCTAGAGTCAGTGGAGTTCAGGCCACCACATGCTCAATGCATTTCCACTAAGTGCTGCAGGAACAAGATGTTGTCTTGTGTGAAACCAAATGTTGCCAGTGTTAAAAAGTTTTAAATGATTCCGGAGCCTAAGGAGACATAGCCACGATTCGGTCAGAAATTAGACAAGGAAAAATCAGGGGGATATCCTGCCTTGGTCAGTCCTTGACTGAACCCATTGAGTGCCCCCCTTCAGAAAATGAAGAACCTCCAAACACCTCCCTGCCAAATGTATTCCAGTGGTGGATGCTGAGAATGAACCACACATTTAACAATATCCTGTAGCCCATGTCCAATCCTCCGGCAGCGGCTATGAGAAACACACCGATCTATGAGAAGCTTCAGCCGCTAGGCAGTGCCTTCCATAGGCACAAGTGTTACTTCCAGCCACAGCCCTCATTATTAAATCTTAACACCGCCCTCTTCAGTTCATGCCCCTTCCACATGTGTGCATTTCTAAGATTGCAATTCGCTCTTCAGCTGTACATGTGACAGTGCCGTACGAATTGAGCTGAAAGGGTATTGCTGTCCTTTATCAGTTTTATGAGCATTGGAAAGACCTTGTTTTTGCTCATCAGTTCATAAGCCAGTGTTGTCGTCCAGACCATCACAAAGCCTTTCACAAGACCAGACACCGATGACAGGATGAACAGTGACAACGGAATATTCTTGTTGGAGTTGATTTGAATAGCTGATGACTTGAAGGTTTTGTGTTGGTGTTGGGATGGTCTTGTAATGGTCTTAACAGCAACACTATTAGAGCATCGGAAAGACCTTACTTTCACTCATCAGTTTGGATAAGCGTTGGAAAATGTGTTTTCTCTCATTAGTTGCGGAGGCTAAGAACGAATATCCACATCGCTGAACACTGATACCTAACATACAGATAGAGACTTTTGATGGATGAAAATGAAAATAGTTTCTGTTGATGAAAAAAGCCTTTCACTCAAAGAAAGGTGTGGCTTTGTAACTCGTGCTGGGCGGTGTCGCAAATAAGCATGAGTGTTTCAAACACTGTTGACATTCAAGATGCCCCATTTGGCTTTCAGGAGTGCCGCCAGCCGTTCAATGACGGCAGCTTCTTTGAACACGACGGCATGCCCTACTGCGAGATGCACTACCACGCCCGACGGGGCTCGCTGTGCTACGGCTGCCAAAAGCCCATCACCGGCCGCTGCATCACCGCCATGCACAGGAAGTTCCACCCAGAGCACTTCATCTGCGCCTTCTGCCTCAAGCAGTTGAATAAGGGCACGTTCAAGGAGCAGAACGACAAGCCGTACTGCCACACCTGCTTCGTCAAACTCTTCAACTGAAGGGGGGAAGCAGATGCGGGAGGCAGGCTTGAAAACTTTTTTTTTTTTTTTAATGAAAGGTGGGTGGTTGCCCACGCAAGATCTCCTCGTTGGAGAACATGAGAAAAGTTGGGCACATGATTCCAGGTGCGTAGTCTGGGGACGTGTACTGTTATTGGGTAACCAAACCCTGGCTGCATCATGATGTCAGCCGTGAGGTTTGTGGCTCCCAGCTTTTGAATTGTGGCAATTAACAAAAAAAAAAGGAAAAAAAAATAGGCACAGGGGATTATAAAAAAAGGAAAAAAGTCCACTTTTTTCTCTAGAAATCCAAAACTTTCCCCACAGGGTGTACTTGATAGTTAAATATGGATAGGAACAGACTTCCACGAATTCATTATACCAAGGGTATTGCTGCAAGAATGTAATCACGTGTTACATGTTCCCACAAGTTGTTTTTTTTTTAAATTAGCACAGCACTTGCATGTACCACTTGCACAAAAATGTGCTTCACTTCCACGGCAAATGTGATCCCCACCACACCGATACACTGTACTTTGTGAGACATTCTCTGGAAGAGTTTGTGTTGTGGTGCTAAACTCATTCTTAACTCAGCACATAATTTCACCAAATGTTGTAAGCCTTTTTTTCTTTTCACCAAAGTACAAAGCAGTGGATTTTAAAAATGTATGTGTGTGTGTGTGCGCGAAAGTATCCGAAAGGTTGTCGGTTGTTTACATTTTGGCCCAACTCCCTGGGACTTATTTTCATAAATCCTTCAGTGTCTACCACTGTTGATGATAAAATCTTTGTACTTGCACATTAGGGCCTGTTCTGGAAAGTCTTTAATCAAAATACACGTACAAAACAACTTTAAATGTGTGGAATTCTGGTTAGTTGGGAAAAATGCCCCCTCCCGCATTATTGGGAGTTCATCTCAACCCCTAATCTCCACCAAATCCTCAAACTATGTCATGAAAAAGAATTTCTGTCCAGTGGTTGAAAAGGATGTAAGAAGTACTAACTGTGTTCGGTGTAGGTAGCTTCTGTATAGAAATCCTTTGGGGTTTTTGACTGCCATTGGAAAGGGAGTTCATCTCAACCCCAGAATCTCCATCAAATCCTCAAATTATGTCATGAAAAAGAATTTCTGTCCAGTGGTTGAAAAGGATGTAAGAAGTACTAACTGTGTTCGGTGTAGCTTCTGTATAGAAATCCTTTGGGTTTTTTGACTGCCATTGGAAAAGTGTTGCAACCAAAACTTTTTCTCTTTCTAGAAAAACGGAGAGACTTCTCTTTGTTTAAAGCCCCATTAAATTGTATGAGAGTAGTTTTCAGTAACAAGGCTGGATCAAAATTTCATTGAATTTTTTTAGAAAATTCTTTTTTTTTTCACGAAATTGCTGGGGAAAATTGTAGGACTCTCCAAAACAAGAATTAACAGTTTCCAAGCATCCAACGCGTCATTGATATTGTACAGAAAATTTAAATTCTAACGTACAAGTTTTTATGTGCAACATAAGGCATTAAGTCCTTCAAGTCATCAAAGTGTACTCACACTGTTTACTAACATTTTTGTTTCACTCGCTCTACTAATGATACTTTGTTTAGACCTAATCATGCAATGATTTGTATTAATCAGTTTAATTAACTATGAAAATTCTTAGCCCATTTCAAAAATATTTTTGTATAATTATGTAAAGTATACATTGTATTTAAATGTTCTGTTGATTGCAAAAGTGCCTTTCAAATTTTCTCTTAAATTGTGCACTTGAGGCTATGTGTTTGTCGTATCTTGTGGGAGGAAGTGCTTTAACCATTGAATAGTCTGCTGCTGTAGTTACGAGCACTCAGCGAGAGCCAATGAGAGTACTGCATTAGGGCTGCTGCGCTGTAGTTGGCAAAATATTTTGCCATATATATGACATGGCTGCACTGAAGTACATGTACATTTAGGCAAATAGCAATACATGTACATGTACCTTCAGAACAAGTGACAGTAACATACTCGGTGAATTAATACATGAGGGGTTCTTGTTTTTTTTCCTTTTTTTACAATTTAATGTGACTATTCAGAGAGAACTTTGAAAGGGGAAAAATTTCAAATTTCTTGTTTTTTTTTTAATTCTCATCTCGATGTGGAGTAACACAGTGAAATGCCTTTTGAGTAATTTGTCATAACATGCGTTATTTTGTGTGGAAAATGTGCATATCCTTTTGCTTTATGCATATGCTTTTTATGTGTAATGCTGGTGTTGTGTCCTTTTTAAAAGGCATACATTCATGTACATGTATGTTACGGATAAAGCATTCACATTGTTCCTGTACCACATACGACAAAACACCTACTTATGGTGTACCTTAATGGCCACATTTTGGCACGTTCCCCAGTGATAATACGTTTGGCCATTTAACGTATTTTTACATGTTAATCAGCATGCAGGCTATAACTCGAAGGTAGACGATATTTTTCCAGTTCTTTTTTTGGCTGTTGAGGAAGATAGATTACACTTACACTTAAAAAAGGCTGCTCGCTGAGGCATCTGCATCGGAAATGTCCAAGAAGTGGCCCAAATCATTTAATGCCATCAGGAAAAGACATTTTGCCCTCAGAAGTTGCCATCCTCTCAACAGGCATGCAGCTTTTCCTCGGCTCAGCTGATTTCCTCATTTTTCACTTCACATTCATGCCATTGAAACTTCAAAAGACACTGCACATAGTCTTGTGAAGATAAGAATATCCTCGTTTCTGTCAAAGTCCAAGTTGCATGCCTGTCTTGAGGCCTGCTGATCGCGTCAGTCAGCAGAAAATCTTGTGCTTTGCAGCGCCCTTGAAATGTTGCCTGGGTATTAAACGAAAAGATTTTCACCCTAAACACAAATAGAACAAGCCGTTCTGTATGTTGCGTATTTTGCTTGTGGTTTGTTGTTGCAGAGATATATGTGGTCATGTGTGTTTTTATCTTTATACTAACTGCACCGAAAAGTACTTTGCGGCATTGAATGTCTGCCGGCAAATTTTTCTGGTTGTAAATAAAAATAAATCTGATTTTAAGGTGCTGCTCTGTATTACAATTGTACAAGTATAGGGTTATTTTGTGGAAAATTACATTTCCATGGGATTTGAATGACTGGGAAAGGTATAGATAGCATAGAGTCCGAGTAGCAATTATTTGGATAATACTGAAAATTATCCTCAAGCCACTAGCCGGCCACTTCCATAGTTATAGCCAAGTGAATGGGACGCCCCCCCCTCCCTGTAACAGTCTTGTGAAATACATCACAGGATTGACGGCTTTTCTTTCCGTGCGCAGTTGTAAGACGGAGAAACAGTCTGTGAACCAACACTAAGCAGTTGAGATTATATGAGTAGTTACAATGTAGGCTGACGTTAAGGTGGTAGGCAGCCGTGTTACTCAGGCAGAGTCACATAAACAAGTGGGGTAGCACTTGTAAAAAGTTACCAGAGTAAACATTTTTGACACAACTTTTGTAACCAGACTACTTCATCAGATGCTGCGAAGGGAACATATTCATGAAACCACAGACATTGGTTGGTAACCCACTACAAGTGTTATACCTTACCGCATTCTTCCATTCTTGGTACTCTGCTACATGAATATTCATTTGACATTCACTACACTGTGGTTTTCAAACTGTATTTTTACAGGTTGGTATGTCAGGACTTCCAAATTTTATCAAAATGTCTGGCTGACTCACTTCTCTAGAATGGTAGTTATTCCCGAATTTCTAGTGACGAGCTTCATTGGAAGACGGATTGGTGTAAGAACATTCGTACAACACTGTGATCAACGTTTACCAATTTCAAAAACTTGTTCGTCTGCACCGTAGCACTTGATATTTTTGCTTCACATGATTCTAGGAGTATTGTAACAATGTAAGGTTTAATATCCTGAATAAGATTTTGAGATGAAAACTACAGAATGTGTTATACCATTGTCTATCTCGATGTCGGCTTCTAACACATCTTAAACCACTGCTGTTTTTATTTCTCTTCAAAAGACATTGGGCAGTCGGGAGATAATCAAAGTTGGACCGGAGTAGTTTTAAAATGCAAGGTTAACCCTTGCAACTTTCAGTCCTTTGGCGAAAACTCCTCCCCACGTGGAGTGGGTCGGGTCTCTAGTGATACTTACCTCTGCCCAGCCTATATATGCAAATTTCCCATGTGCCTATTACAATTCGCTGAAAAGACTTGATTATGCATACTGCCCCTTGACCCTCCACAATGCACTGCAGTCCCGCCGCCATGTTCATCCTTCTTTTCGAAGCGGTAAAAACAACCGGAGCCAAAGTGGGGAAGGATGGGCGGGAGCGGCTGGGCAGGGGAAGTATCACAAGGAGACCCAACCCACACTTAATGGGGGGGAGGAGTCTCCTGCGTTCACATACCCCTGCCCTGCCTACACATGCAGAGTCAATTCACAAACGTGAAAGGTTACGGAACTCAAAACTCTGAAAATGCCATAAAGACACATCTGTAAACTATAGGCACTGAGAAAAGAAGGACGAACATGGCGGTGGGATCGCAGTGCATTGTGGAGGGTCAAGGGGCAGTATCCATAATCAAGTCTTTTCAGCGAATTGTAGGCATATGTAGGCCGGGCTGGGGTATGTGAATGCAGGAGACTCCACATGTTCTAACACAGCTTTTAAGTGAAAGGGTTGCCTTAACTGTACGAAAACAAAGGAATGCCCATACTATGTAAGTAACGTAAACATCATCTGGCTTACGTATCGGTAAGTGACAATGAAGTTGTCTTCTTTCATTATACTCCCTGCATTGTAAAGTGCTGTATGGTTTTCTAGATTTAGCAGTAATTGTAAATATAATCTGAAACCAACGGGTGCGAGGGTGAATCCAGGGGTGGGGGGCAGTGGGGCTTCGTTTCCCGTCCAAAAGAGGGAAATACAATGACTGAAAGGAATTCGATAGGGGCTTAATTTCAGTTCTCTTCCTTCCAGAAGTATGTTGAAAGCCCCAAATTGTAGCAAAATGTGTAAATGAACCTACAAGTTTCAAAAAGTTGTCCAGCCCCCCCCCCCAAAATAGTTCTAGATCTGCCCTTCAGTTGAAACCTTCACTCATAACCTTTTGATTTAAATAAAAAAAGTAAAAGGTCGACTTGACTTGACATTTTTGGTAATTTTTTCCTGTGTTTAGATTTGGGCAGACCTCCGTGCCCCTGCCATAGCTGCCTACGTTGAGGCTGACTAACTTATCCTGCACCATGGTGCGACTGGACTGACCAGCAATGATATCTGCAATGTTGAAGACGCAGGCCTTACATCGTGAATGGCAGCAGGTTAGAGTGGCATGTGATTTATGTCGGCTTTTAACCAGTAAACAATAGAAACATCACAGAAAAGGATCAACAATTTGGGGAAGACCCTACATTTGAAGGTACAGTCCATCATTGGTCCGATCCTTTGTGGATTATGTTCCTTTGAGGGAAGAAAATTACTCAAAAATCTAAAGGGTGCCTTAGATCAAACCTGAAGTTTCAGCTCAGTGAAAAGAGTGTATCTACCAAGAAAGACAACATTCTAGGATCACGGTTTGCTGAGTGACGTGTTAGATTGCACCTGCATTCAACGGCCCGGACACATTCTTACATCCAATCAAGTGGAGCTGTAAGATGTCATGCACTGAACCAATGAATTATACATTGAGTAACGCATGTGTCATGTCACAATGCTTAGATATGTTTCTACTGGAAAGTTTCAAAAATGCTTCTTTGGAAACAACCTTCTTTCATTGTTTCTTCATAATGACAGCTTGCCAGAACGACTGATTTCACAGGGAGTTATAGTCCTTTAACCATCTTTAACCAAGTATGCTTTTCAACAATGATTTTGCCAGTTAATTTTCGGATAACTGCAAATGATGGACTGTTCCTTTAATACTTAGAATCCAACAGAAATTTATCGAGTCAGATTGAGGAAGTGTTTCCTCCTTAACGTATTGATAAAGATGCGGCCATTTCAATACAGGACAGAGATTCTATTGGTGAACTTAAACCTATCCAAATTGAGCAGAAGCACCCCCTCATTGGCTGAAAAGAGCCATGTTGGTGGGAAGTGCTCATTTTGTTGGTAGCAATGCAATTGTTACGTGCATTTCATATTTGTTTGTAAACCTGCAAAGTGCAGTTCCCACCTAAGGAACCTGCTTTGCAAGGAAAACTGCGCCCTCTTGGACCTGCTCGGGCCTCATACCCATCCATAAAAGAGGATTTTTTTCCATAACGTCTGTTTCTGCGATACCTGAGCTAATTCTTTTGTGAATGATTCCTTCCCCAGACCTCGTATGAAAGCTATGCACATGCCCTAGGAGAAACCAGACCATAGTGCTGATGAGAAGAGTGCCCTCGCCTCCTTCACCAAGGAAAGAAGCAAGATGGAGGGCGAGATCCTACAGGACTTCCCCTGGGATGATTCGTGTAAAGGAGAGGACATCCTCACCTCTGTCGCTGAGGAAAAGTTTCCACGTCAGGATATCAAGCAGTGGTTCACACAGGCAAGGAAAAGACTGCAGTTCCTTGCTTCTGCCTCGCAGTGAAGTAAATCTGTGCTGGGGACCAGGGGAGAATATGCTTGGCATCAAAGGACACTAGGGGGCGCTATTCATGATGTACAATGTACACCACAGACACATATAAATGCACAGACCATCAGTCTCGCATGTATATCTGTGATTTTAAAAAGTATGGGCAAACAATTGGCAAAACGATGGAAGGTAGCGTGTTTAGTGCACATGCGTTACTCACAATGCACGTATAGTGCCTTTATTTGTGTACATATGTGACCCACCTTGCGAAAAAGGGTATTAAGGGACACTGCTTTTTCACACTAAGGGTGTTTGTATGTGGAAAGGGTGATTTTTTTACTTCTTGGTTTCTTGGCGTCTATTACATCAATACTTTCACAATTCATACCAGAAACCTAACTGTTGCAGTGGGTATTAAGAGACTTCCTCCTTGGCTGATTTTTTTTCCTCTTCCTGTGATTAAAGGGCTTTATCTCTGAAAGCAATTCTGTAAACGTGTATGATATGATTATGCAAAAATCACTGTATCTCCAGATTACAAAATGCCACAGGGTTCAAACCTACACCAAATTAAAGCTTATAATGTGACCAATTCAAATGTGTCTGTAACTCATTTTGAAAAAATGTCCCCTTATACCCATTTTTGTGGAGCTGGTCACATATGTGCTTCCAAAGTACGTTAACTTTGTTGCTCTTTGGCACTGTTATCTCTTCTTTTCAAGTGTTGCAATTGCATTGTTTTGACTCTACATACATATAGGCCACATTTATGAGGATTTTTTGCTATAAAAAAATGGCTTCAGACAATTTTCCGTTGGCTGGAATTCTTCAACTGTTTATAAGTTCCCTGTACGTATAGTTTTGATTTTAGTCGGGCACCACACTGATCACCAAACGTCAGTTAGTTTGGAATGTGATCTGGCGGTCTGTGCGTTTATGTATCTGTTGTGTGTACACTTGTAAATCTGTGTTCGGGATTGAGCAATATGAATTATGGACTCAAGGTGGGGGAGTTCATGGATGCTATGGAACACTAGGGGGCGCTGTTCATGATATGATCAATATACACCCTGCAGCCATTAAACTTACATCCAAACTGAATGTTATCTGCCATTTGAGTACTACTGAATACATTTTGACTGTTGGGGAGTTTGAAACATACATCTACCTCAGAATCTGCATTTTTGTCACTGCCAAAAAATTCTGAGTAGGAGATGATCCAATCATCAGCCCCTCCCCTGATCAAAAATTGCCAGGGGGCGGGGCACATAATTCGGACCCTGTTAATAGGAACATTGTAAATACCACATTCTGTTTGTTTGAGGTCCCAATCTCTTTGTTCTTCACTGTTTTTCATTCCTGATAATGCAAGGCTCCTGTTATAACAAGTTAACCTGCTAACTCTGAAAGACCTCTTACAAGTGAAGTTTGACTGCATTCCCCCCCCCCCCACAGATTTACGCCCCTGCCACCATATGATAGTGTCTATGTGCATATGTATATTAGTGGGAAAGAGTTCCATGGACATCACTTGACACCCGCTGTACTGGGCCAGGAAATTCTAAGCAGTAAATGCTTCAATATTTTCCCTGCTAAATTTGAATTTTTAGGACTGTATTGCTTCCTGGTGGCTGATTTATATTTCCACTGAGGGCAGAAATGAGCAATGTCAGTGTATGGAACTCTTCCCATAATACTTTCATCCAAATTCATGACTGAAAAGGATATTTTCCTATTTAAAGTAAATACTTAGTCAGATTACGTTTCAACAACCATTCCAAATAATTTGATCATGATACATTTATTCTGATTTTTCTATTGCATATTTCTTGCTTGGAATTCACTTTTTGGGAGTCAGATTTGCATAGCAGCTCTTTCCTCATCTTCCACCTCAGCAGCCCGGGTTTGAGTCCAAGGCTCACAACCTCTAAAAACTGAAGATTTATTTTCCTCTTCATTGCCACTCATAATCATCCTGTAATAAGCACTGAATGTGCATGAAATGAATACATGTATCAATTAATAATAAACTATTAATGGCAGCCATGTACATGTACAAGTAAACTCTATGGGATGATCTTCAATGGGTCATTATCAACTACGGTCCATGTGACAATACGCATTACAATTTTTTGGATGTGAAATGGGGATAGTGTTACGACGTGGGAAGAAAACCCCAAATAAATATTCAAGAAATCAAGTAGGGACTGAAAACCCGATGCACACATCAGCTCGGACAAGATTTGATTCTGGGTTGCTGAGGTGGAAGGTGAGGAAAGTATCGCCGTGCCAACTTGACTCCCCCCAAAAAATAAACACATAACGGTATCACAATGCTACACTTCAAAAACTGTGTCAGTGCTAAAATAAAAGGTCCTTACTGAAATTCCATTAAAAGGTCCTTATTGAAAAATACTTTTTTTAACATGAAATTGGGCAAGAATATTTGTTGAAATTAAATATATTGGCCCCAGAAAACTAGCTTAATAAATAAAAGTGAAATAAATGTTGTCTGTTTCAATACAACATTCCCTTCATGCTCAAAGTAAGACCGAGAAAGTATTTTCCAAAATTTTATTTTTGCTGTAATGACCTTTTAGCACTGGCCCAATGAATTTGTACGATTTGGGAAGACTGCAGTCTAGGGCACTAGAAATTTTACAACTATGTTGCCTGCTTTTAAAAAGTGACCAATTTATTGCACATTTCACATCTCCCCTTTTCTCGTTCAGACAAAATACCAGTTCTGTACCCATGAACACTGTCTAGCTCACTCAGTGACCATTCCAAACCTCATTGTAACAAGTTTTTTGTCATCCCATGGAAAAGGTTCTACATGCCTTTGAATTTTCCTAATGGAAGTCCTTTCATTATTAGCCTTTCCTATTTTCATTTTCACCAAAATTCTGAATCAGAAATTTGTTTGGTTTATAAATATTAGCTTGCTGTGAAAATATGCCTTTTCCAGGTATATTTATCAAACTTTACTTTACTATGTATCAGAACCATTTCAATTATACTTGTGTTTTTTATGAAATAAATGTTTAAACTTACAGAACTGTTTTAATTCTGTTTGTGAAAATGTAGTACTTTGCCACTTGGCCCATTCTCCCAATCTCAACCATTTTACACTGCCAGAGTTACATCTGTTTCCCATCTTTATATTTTACATTGCAGCCTAAGCCCTGCCAGTCTTAAACATCTTCCAAGCTTCTTATATAAAGTTCCCTCTAAGAGCCTTAAGTCTCAGTCTTACAAGGGCTAAAATAAACCCACTAGCAATATGGAACACTATTAGAAGCTATGTCCTTCAACCCTATGGGATCCTTAGAGCTCTAATACTGATAGTCCCAAGCCCTCAGCCATCCACTCTACCCTTCCTATCAGCTCTCTGACTTCCAGCCCCTAAGACTGCCACCCTTACCCATCTCCAGTACACAGTTTGGCCGAAAAATATTCT